CGAACTCGACGTCAAACCTGACCTCAAACCTGACCTCAAACCTGACCTCAAACCTGACCTCAAACCTGACCTCAAACCTGACGTCAAACCTGACCTCAAACCTGACCTCAAACCTGACCTCAAACCTGACGTCAAACCTGACCTCAAACTTGACCTCAAACCTGACCTCAAACCTGACCTCAAACCTGACCTCAAACCTGACCTCAAACCTGACCTCAAACCTGACCTCAAACCTGACCTCAAACCTGACCTCAAACCTGACCTCAAACTTGACGTCAAACCTGACCTCAAACCTGACCTCAAGCCTGACCTCCAACCCGACGTCAAACCTGACCTCAAACCCGACGTCAAACCTGACCTCGAACTCGACGTCAAACCTGACCTCAAACCTGACGTCAAACCTGACGTCAAACCTGACCTCAAACCTGACCTCAAACCTGACCTCAAACCTGACCTCAAACCTGACCTCAAACCTGACCTCAAACCTGACCTCAAACCTGACCTCAAACCTGACCTCAAACCTGACGTCAAACCTGACCTCAAACCTGACCTCAAACCTGACCTCAAACCTGACGTCAAACCTGACCTCAAACCTGACCTCAAACCTGACCTCAAACCTGACGTCAAACCTGACCTCAAACCTGACGTCAAACCTGACCTCAAACCTGACGTCAAACCTGACGTCAAACCTGACCTCAAACTTGACCTCAAACCTGACCTCAAACCTGACGTCAAACCTGACCTCAAACCTGACCTCAAACCTGACCTCAAACCTGACCTCAAACCTGACCTCAAACCTGACCTCAAACCTGACGTCAAACCTGACCTCAAACCTGACCTCAAACCTGACCTCAAACCTGACCTCCAACCCGACGTCAAACCTGACCTCAAACCCGACGTCAAACCTGACCTCGAACTCGACGTCAAACCTGACCTCAAACCTGACGTCAAACCTGACGTCAAACCTGACCTCAAACCTGACCTCAAACCTGACGTCAAACCTGACCTCAAACTTGACCTCAAACCTGACCTCAAACCTGACCTCAAACCTGACCTCAAACCTGACCTCAAACCTGACCTCAAACCTGACCTCAAACCTGACCTCAAACCTGACCTCAAACCTGACCTCAAACTTGACGTCAAACCTGACCTCAAACCTGACCTCAAGCCTGACCTCCAACCCGACGTCAAACCTGACCTCAAACCCGACGTCAAACCTGACCTCGAACTCGACGTCAAACCTGACCTCAAACCTGACGTCAAACCTGACGTCAAACCTGACCTCAAACCTGACCTCAAACCTGACGTCAAACCTGACCTCAAACTTGACCTCAAACCTGACCTCAAACCTGACCTCAAACCTGACCTCAAACCTGACCTCAAACCTGACGTCAAACCTGACCTCAAACCTGACCTCAAACCTGACCTCAAACCTGACCTCAAACCTGACCTCAAACCTGACCTCAAACCTGACCTCAAACCTGACGTCAAACCTGACCTCAAACCTGACGTCAAACCTGACCTCAAACCTGACCTCAAACCTGACCTCAAACCTGACCTCAAACCTGACCTCAAACCTGACCTCAAACCTGACCTCAAACCTGACCTCAAACCTGACCTCAAACCTGACGTCAAACCTGACCTCAAACCTGACGTCAAACCTGACCTCAAACTTGACGTCAAACCTGACCTCAAACCTGACCTCAAACCTGACCTCAAACCTGACCTCAAACCTGACCTCAAACCTGACCTCAAACCTGACGTCAAACCTGACCTCAAACCTGACCTCAAACCTGACGTCAAACCTGACCTCAAACCTGACCTCAAACCTGACGTCAAACCTGACCTCAAACCTGACCTCAAACCTGACCTCAAACTTGACGTCAAACCTGACCTCAAACCTGACGTCAAACCTGACCTCAAACCTGACCTCAAACCTGACCTCAAACCTGACCTCAAACCTGACCTCAAACCTGACCTCAAACCTGACCTCAAACCTGACGTCAAACCTGATCTCAAACCTGACGTCAAACCTGACCTCGAACTCGACCTCAAACCTGACGTCAAACCTGACCTCAAACTTGACGTCAAACCTGACCTCAAACTTGACCTCAAACCTGACCTCAAACCTGACCTCAAACCTGACCTCAAACCTGACGTCAAACCTGACGTCAAACCTGACGTCAAACCTGACCTCAAACCTGACGTCAAACCTGACCTCAAACCTGACCTCAAACCTGACGTCAAACCTGACGTCAAACCTGACCTCAAACCTGACGTCAAACCTGACGTCAAACCTGACCTCAAACCTGACCTCAAACCTGACGTCAAACCTGACCTCAAACCTGACCTCAAACCTGACCTCAAACCTGACCTCAAACCTGACGTCAAACCTGACGTCAAACCTGACCTCAAACCTGACCTCAAACCTGACCTCAAACCTGACCTCAAACCTGACCTCAAACCTGACCTCAAACCTGACCTCAAACCTGACCTCAAACCTGACCTCAAACCTGACGTCAAACCTGACGTCAAACCTGACCTCAAACCTGACCTCAAACCTGATCTCAAACCTGACGTCAAACCTGACCTCAAACCTGATCTCAAACCTGACGTCAAACCTGACCTCAAACTTGACGTCAAACCTGACCTCAAACTTGACGTCAAACCTGACCTCAAACTTGACGTCAAACCTGACCTCAAACCTGACGTCAAACCTGACCTCAAACCTGACCTCAAACCTGACGTCAAACCTGACGTCAAACTTGACGTCAAACCTGACGTCGAACCTAATGTCAAACCTGACCTCAAACCTGACCTCAAACCTGACCTCAAACCTGACCTCAAACCTGACGTCAAACCTGACGTCAAACCTGACGTCAAACCTGACGTCAAACCTGACCTCAAACCTGACGTCAAACCTGACCTCAAACCTGACCTCAAACCTGACGTCAAACCTGACGTCAAACCTGACCTCAAACCTGACGTCAAACCTGACGTCAAACCTGACCTCAAACCTGACCTCAAACCTGACGTCAAACCTGACCTCAAACCTGACCTCAAACCTGACCTCAAACCTGACCTCAAACCTGACCTCAAACCTGACCTCAAACCTGACCTCAAACCTGACGTCAAACCTGACCTCAAACCTGACCTCAAACCTGACCTCAAACCTGACGTCAAACCTGACCTCAAACTTGACCTCAAACCTGACCTCAAACCTGACCTCAAACCTGACCTCAAACCTGACCTCAAACCTGATCTCAAACCTGACGTCAAACCTGACCTCAAACCTGATCTCAAACCTGACGTCAAACCTGACCTCAAACTCGACGTCAAACCTGACCTCAAACTCGACGTCAAACCTGACCTCGAACTCGACGTCGAACCTGACCTCAAACCTGACGTCAAACCTGACCTCAAACCTGACCTCAAACCTGACGTCAAACCTGACGTCAAACTTGACGTCAAACCTGACGTCGAACCTAATGTCAAACCTGACCTCAAACCTGACCTCAAACCTGACCTCAAACCTGACCTCAAACCTGACGTCAAACCTGACGTCAAACCTGACCTCAAACCTGACCTCAAACTTGACGTCAAACCTGACCTCAAACCTGACCTCAAACCTGACCTCAAACCTGACCTCAAACCTGACCTCAAACCTGACCTCAAACCTGACCTCAAACCTGACCTCAAACCTGACCTCAAACCTGACCTCAAACCTGACCTCAAACCTGACCTCAAACCTGACCTCAAACCTGACGTCAAACCTGACGTCAAACCTGACCTCAAACCTGACGTCAAACCTGACCTCAAACCTGACCTCAAACCTGACCTCAAACCTGACCGCAAAACCTGACCTCAAACCTGACCTCAAACCTGACGTCAAACCTGACCTCAAACCTGACCTCAAACCTGACGTCAAACCTGACCTCAAACCTGACCTCAAACCTGACCTCAAACCTGACCTCAAACCTGACCTCAAACCTGACCTCAAACCTGACCTCAAACCTGACCTCAAACCTGACCTCAAACCTGACCTCAAACCTGACCTCAAACCTGACCTCAAACCTGACCTCAAACCTGACCTCAAACCTGATGTCAAACCTGACGTCAAACCTGACGGACACCCAACGCCCAACGCCCAACGCCCAACGCCCAACGCCCAATGCCCAACGCCAGCCCCCTGGGCTCTTTCTTCAACTCCTGACCTTGCCTTGTGAGCTTCTGAGGCGGCTGGCGCTGTTGATTGTGCTCAAATCATCGTATTCCACTGCAGAGCTCATAGTGGGGCTACTTATTGGACGAATAGGTAGGTGTCCTGACCTGAGCCGGCTGGCGCAGCTTATTGCGCTCAACTTTACCTTTTCAACTGCAGAGCTCATTTTGGGGCTGCTCTCTGGACGGATAGGTGGGTGGTTGAATGTTGACTGTTGAATTTGCCTTGTGAGATTGACTCCTGAGGTGGCTGGCGCTGCTTATTGCGTTCAACTCCGTGTATTCCACTGCAGAGCTCATAGTGGGGCTGCTTATAGGGCGAATAGGTGCGTGCCTGCTCTTTCTTTGACTCCTGAGCATGAATTCTCAGCTTCACTGGTGAGTTTGACTCCCGACCTTGCCTTCTGAGGCGGCTAGCGCTGTTGATTGCACTCAAATCCACCTATTCAACTGCAGAGCTCATAGTGGCGCTGCTGATTGGACGGATAGGTGGGTGGCTGGGCGCTGATATTCGCGCGCAGCTCTTCACACCCTCCCTGACAGAGCTCGTTTCTGACTCCTTCCTCTTCTTCCCCCTCTCTTCGCCCCCATCTCCTCCCCTCCCCTCCCAGAGCCTGTGTCCGACTCCTTTCACCTCTCCTTCGGCTGCTGCATCCTGCTGCTCTCCCTGCTCTTCACGTCTTTTCTCTTAGAGCTTTTTCCGGACTCCCTCATCCTCTTCTTTCCCCCCTCTGCTGCCACCTTTCCTCCCCTCTTCCTTTCCTCCCCTCCCCTCCCAGAGCTTGTCTCCGACTCCTTCCACCTCTCCTTCGGCTGCTGCATCCTGCTGCTCTCCCTCGCCGCCATGCTCGTGGGAAAACGCCCTGCAGATGCCACCTTCACCTACGGGTAGGCTAAACGCTTTAGTCACTTCTGCACATCTTCGGCAGGTGCCACCTTCCCCAGGTGCATCCTGCTGCTCTCACTCGCCTCCCTGCTCAGGGGAAACACCCCCAAATACCACCTTCACCTATGGGTAGGGCTGCAGATGCCACCTTGCACCTTCGCACTGCAAAAACCTTCCCCAGGTATCACCTTCCCCAGGTATCACCTCCCCCAGGTATCACCTTGCCCAGGTTCTTCCACCTTTGCCAAGTGCGTAAATGTGTCCATCTAAACATGACTCTTTTCCTTGCACTTTAATTCCTCCTGCCGTTTGCTGCACTCTCTGTATTCCCGCTCCCCTCTGCACCCTCCCCCCCTCGTCCCTGTGCTCCCCTCTGAACGCCCCTCCCAGCTATGAGAGGCTGGAGGTGCTAGCAGCGTTCACCAACGGGGTGAGTGCATGAACCTACCATGTGTGCTCTCGTGATGTGATGTGCTCCGTTGCCTTCTACGTGCAAGTTCAGAACCCGTTTGCATCACTATTCCTCGTGCTTTTAGCGTTTGTGCTTTTAGCTATGTGACTAACCGTGCGCATAAACAGCGTTCACCAACGGAAGGAACACAAGCCCTGAGTGAACCATGAATGACAGAGATTGTGAGATGTTGTTTCATGCGAATTCAATCGCACTCCGCTGTAAGAGTCATTGTGTTTTCGCTCCTCCGTCTCACCCCCTTCCTCTCCATCCCATCCTGCAGCTCTTCCTTCTCTTCCTCTCCTTCTCGCTAGCAGTGGAGTGCCTGCATGCTTATATCGAGGATGAATCAGAGCACAAGTGAGTTCTTAGCCTCCCAACTTGATGCGGGCCTGCCTGTCTGTTTACCTCGGACTCATGCCTGCTCGTCAATCCCTGCCTGCTCTTCGCTCTCTACCCACTTTCCACTCTCAGTCGTTGCTTTCCTCTAGCCGTCACTACCTGGTTCTTTCCACACTTGCCTCTTCACGCTCGTTGCCCATCAACCTCCCCCGATCCAGGCACTACCTGGTGCTCTCCGCGGTGGTTCATCTGCTCATCAACCTCCTCGGAGTCTTCTTCTTTAAGAGCTTCGCCCGCCGCACAATAAGTGAGTCCAGAGGTGCCCATGTGAGTGTCCAGGGGTGTGTGAGCTGGTGTGCGTTAACAGGGTGAACACGGTTAAATGGACACGAAGCAACGCGGCATCCTACCTACTCATCAACCTCCTCGGAGTCTTCGTCTTCAGGAGGCCCGCTGCACAATTAGTGAGTCCCTGGATGCCTATGTGCAGGTGAGCAGGGGTGTGTGAGCAGGGGTGTGTGAGCAGGGGTGTGTGAGCAAAGGTGTGTGAGCTGGTATGCGTGAGGTGCAGACCAGTTCTGAGTGCTGTTTGCTGCTGGTTCATCTGCTCCTCAACCTCCTTGAAGTCTTCTTCTTCAAGAGCCTTGCCCGCCGCACAATAAGTGAGTCCCTGGGTGCCTACGTGCGTGTGCAGGGGCGCATGAGCATCGGTGTGCTTGCAGGGGTGCATGAGCAGGGGTGCATGAGCAGGGGTGCATGAGCAGGGGTGCATGAGCAGGGGTGCGTGAGCAGGGGTGCGTGAGCAGGTGTGCGTGAGCAGGTGTGCGTGAGAAGGGGTGCATGAGAAGGGTTATCTGCATCAGCTGATGGTTGCAGGGCATGGACCATCAGCTATCCTGCACCTCCCCTCCATGCCTCATGTGCTGCTGTGTTCATCACCCTTCTCCTTCTCCCTTCTCTTTCCCCACCAGCGTACCAGAGACCAAGGGACATGAATCATCACGCAATCTTGCTGCACCTGCTCTGCGATTCCATCCGAAGGTATCAACCGCGAGCAAATGCTGTTCTCTATCAGGTCCTTATCCAGGTGACTTATGACTTTTGAATCCACTAAGTCATCCTCATTCGCTCAGCAGGTGATCTACATGCACCCATCAAGTGATTGCCTTGCATGCCATAGGTAATTTAATTGCATGCATCAGGTAATCACATTCATAGTTCTGTTGTACCTGAATTCCCTTCATGCCATCCCCTTGCCTCTAGCAGTGGTGGCGTTGTCCTCGCCTCGTGGTTCATTGCCATTGGGTAAGCTGCAACGTACAGCAGTTCTAAGATTCCTTACAAGTTTCTTTTCCAGGATGATCAAGATCTTCTCAAAGTCTCTATACTTATTGCACACATAATCACAATGCACATGTCCTTTACTACTGGGTCCACAATTCCTATCCAATCCCACCCCCTTCTGCCTCGTTTTTCTCCCCCATTCCTATCCAATCCCACCTGCCTAATTTCCCAGGGTGTACAGTGCAGAGGCCATCTGCCTGGGCCTCGTCTCCCTCACAGTGCTCGTGCTCGCGCTCCCATTGGTGCAATCGTCCGGCAATCTGCTGCTCCAGATGGCCCCTGCAGGCATCTCCGAGCCCGCCCTGCACAAGTGCATTCGCCATGTGGGTGTTTCATTTTCATTCATTTCGTATGCATTCAATATGCGGGTCTTTGATTCCCATTGGTCCAGTCGTCTGGCAATCTGCTGCTGCAGATGCCCCCTGCAGGGATCTCCGAACCCGCCCTGCACAAATGCATCCGCCATGTGAGTGTCCCATTCATGGTGACTCTGAGTTGATTCATTCGCCATGTGGATGTTTGATTCCCATTGCTTTCATCTGCATTCAGTATGTGGGTCTTTCATTCACATTGGCATTCAATACGTGGGCCTCTGTTATTCTCTCATTGGTTGCCTCGTTTTGTGATTCGCATTGTCACATCTGTCATTCAGTTTATGCATCAATGCTTTTCAGGTTCTCAAACTGAACATGCGAGCTGTACCCTGTGTGCCTGTAGTGTGGTCCCATTTGCTGTTTTGCTCTTTGTGTGTACCGTATGTGTGTGTGCACCTAACAGGTGGCGGCATATGAGGGGGTAGAGGAGTGCATAGAGCATCGCTTTTGGGCGGTGGTCCCCGGACATGTGGTGGGGACACTCACTGTTCGGGTGAGTTTTTACCACTTCTCGTTCCACGTGCCACATGTTTTGGTGCAAGTTGGGCCGAGAGTGCCGTGCTTCAGGAGACAATGCACCTAAAGATTTTTTACACGTTGATGGTTGTTTGCAGGTTAGAGAAGGTGTAGATGAGCAGAAGGTTCTCGAGCATGTCCATTCCATTTTCAATGACATTGGTGTCAGGGACCTCACTGTTCAGATTGAATCAACCTCGTAGCTTGAATGTACTCTAGTACCCTGTATACAAACGCAGGCCTAGGATAGGCACATGCGCTTGTATGGGGTTCAAAGCAATGCGTCAAGTTGTTTTTTTGGCTGGGATTGACAACAGTGAGGTTCGTTTAAAAGCCTTCATTCAAACAGCAAAAGACGCCTCTTTCTCTAGACCTCAACATGTTGAATGGTGGCCTTGAGAACAACCCCTTCTGAAAAACTTCCTTAGGGTACATGTGTTTTGACACCTCTCTGTACCGTAATTGAGTTGCAATTGTACCGATATCATGTCCCTAGTGGGATATACGGCAAAATCGCGCGCATCGGCGGAAATCGCGTTTGTCTCAATTGAATCGACCCAAATTGCTTCCCTTTCGCCACGTGGGCGTTTTTCTTAATTGGATGGACCCCCTTTCCCCCCGCCCCCCCAAACCGTTTTTCCCGCCCTTGCCCTCCGAAATTCGGGCACCCGCTGGAATCTCGGGGAATCACAAACAGTCACAAATTCATACTTTTTCGTAACGCTAAAATTTCAACCTGCGAGCGGACATCTAATTGTAGCGAAATGTCTTGGAGTGAATATTATGATAAATTCAAAAATAATTAATTTTTAACGAACTCAAAATAATCAATTTTAACTCATTCGAAAATGATTAATTTTTATTTGCCTTGGAGTGAATATTATGATAAATTGGTAACATTTCGCTACATTAAGATGTCAAACGCAGGTTGAAATTTTAGCGTTACGAAAAAGCATGTATTCGTGACTGTTTGTGATTCCACGAAATTCCAGCGGGGGGGGGAAAGGGGGTCCATCCAATTAAGAAAAACGCCCACGTGGCAAAAGGGAAGCAATTTGGGTCGATTCAATTGAGAAAAACGCGATTTCCGCCGATGCGCGCGATTTCGCCGGGATATACAGAACACGAAGACTTCGGTTTGCGGTCCTAGCTGGAAATCATGCCAGCCGGACAGCCGTTATTGGTTGGCTTCAATCTTTTGTGGCCAATGTCTTGCAAATTGGAAGGGGCTAACGCCCCATGTGTCTATAGGGAGGTGGTTGAAGTCGTCAGCACGGAAACTATTGGCTGAAATTTTTCTGCGGCGGGTTGGTGGTGGAAAGCCGTGGCATGCAAATCAAATGCTTGTGGTGAAGGAAGAGCTGGACAGCAACTTGAACAACTTTTCGGTTGCTCTGCTTTGCTCGACATATATTTTTCTTGTGCGGTACAGTTCACTGTAAATACAGTGAACACACCATTGTCCTTCAAGGCTTCACCACGACCACACCCACAACCCCTAGCATCATCACTCATGGTGTGGACATGAAATATCGAACCAAATTGTTCAATCGTTCTGCCCGAGATTACATGCTGGCTCGAAGCATCCAAGTTGAATACAGTATCCCTGCTGCTCACGCGTGCAATTCTGATTATGCAATCGCGTCGCCAACCAGACCTTCCCCCGCTGCTTCACTTTCTGACGTGATCACGAGCGGAGCGGACTGTTTTCCGCCAAGGAGACCCGCTGGCACCGCTCAGTGCCGAACCAGGCGCACATTGCTGTTCCCCTGTCACGTGTGGTCCCCACTTCCCGAGCTTGTCGACCAATCCACCCCGCCCTGATTTATCCAAGACTCGCAGCAGGCCACTCGCCGCGTGTTCCCGAGACAGCTCAGCGCGTGGCTCCCGTTGCTTCCCTTCTCCGCCTGGTTCCCTTTCCCGCCTCCCACGGGCCCATGCGCACTGGAAGCCGTGGCGGGCGGAACCCAAGGTTCCTTCTCTCCCGTTCTGTTCCATCCCAATCAAGGTTCAACTCTAGACAGTTACCGAGTGTTAGGGCGCGTGTGATCCAAGGATTTTTGTCAAAGTTCGAACTCAAACCGCTTTGCATCGTGGAGAGACATCGCTCAATTGTATCCTACCGTGTAGAACCTTTCTAAAAGTTCGAACTTTGGGAAGTTCGAACTTTGATCACACGCGCCCTTACCCCCTTGATCAGGTTTTAGGTTCAGATACAGATCACACAGCTGCTGTTAGTGCTGTCAAGCGAGCAAGGAAGCAGGAGCTGAGGTGGGGATAGTGGAGTCAAGTGGTTTTGTGATGTGTATCCATCCTCTTATCCAGTGCACCATACTGTACTTCTTCCCGCTCAACATATGTTTTGCTCGCGCGAAAGTACGTTCTCTCCTTTGGCGCAGAGTAGATCTCTTGATCCTTTCCTCTGTTAGCATGCGAAGGATCAACCGTGACGGGTTATTGAGGTCTTAAACTACTGTAGATGCCTAGTTAAGATCCTTCCCCGTTTCATCAACTCGCATGGTTAGTCCGTTGTTTTTTACGACAGACTCGTTCATCGGAGATGACTGCTGACGTGAAAAGCTCCCACTGTCTTTTCCCTCTCCTCTCCATGGCGCATTCCACGCCTGTCCCTGCTGATCTCGGCGCGTCAGCGTTTGCAGCGTCCTCGCTTCGCAGTACAGCAACGCTTCCCTCGGAGCCATTGAGAGAGGAAGGAGTTGACCGCCTTCAATCCGTTAGGCCGTTCGATCTCTCGCTGCCCTCACACAATTCGTTCTTAACTTCTCAAGCCGCTCGGTCTTCCATAGTCGCGTCAGCGATTAATGCAGCAGCAACGGCTACAGACTCGGCGAAGCTGGCCAATCAGCAGCATTTTCTCCAACCAAGCCCTTGTCTCCCATCGCCGGTTGATGTCAGCTTACCTATCGCCATTCCCTCCGCTCTTCGCGGGACGGCGGTAGTGGCAGTAACTGGCGCGGGGATCGAGGCGAATGCGCTGAGCCCGCATTCCACGCTGAGTGGCGGAATAACGCACAAGCTGTTCCTGAGCACGCAATCCTTCCGCAGTTTCCCCCCCAACCTCCCCCTTTCCGCGCTTGGCTCATGCTCCTCCTCAGGATCGTCGGGTTCCTCCTCCCCATGTGGCGGAACGGGGGACCGCGGATCGCAGTCGCTTTCTGTCAAGCGACAGGGTTCGGAGAACCTGCTGAAACGGATTAATTTTAGCATGTCAATGCCGAATTTGAACGGATGGTTGAGGAATAAAGACAGGCGGTTCGATGAAGGCGGCGCCGGAGGTTCTGCACACGGACCGGACGAGGGGAGCGACTTGTCGGCTATTTTTGAAGTGCCGCAAAGCGCCGCGCAAAGTGCGGAGCGAAATGCGGAGCGAAACGCCGTGCAGAACGCAGTGCAAATCGCGGTGCAAAACGTGGATGCTGGACAGACTGGGATCACGCTGAGCCGCAGCCACAAGGAACCTGTGCGAGAAGTGTCGTGGACTGGCTCAGTGGTTGTGACTGAAGACGAGGAGACTACAGCGAGGTCGCCAGGCGAGTCGTCGCGAGGAAAGTGGCGAATCACGCGAAGCAGTCGCAGCCATCGCGAGCATCACTCGCGAACGGGCTGGGCGGCGATTGGCGACAAGATTCGCCTGTCGTCGCTGTCGTCGAGTCGGCTACTGCCGTCGAGTCGGAGGAATTTTCTGAGAAACTCTCCAGGGTCTATGAATGCGATAAGCCTCACCGGACCCCTGGGTCCCGCGGGAGGGGAGGATTTAATCAGCATGAGCCTTGGCCAATCCTGTGGCGCTCCTGCTCCAGGAAATCCGCAAATGCCAGCGGGAGGCGCGGCGGAAGCGGCGGTCGCGGAAGGGGCGCGCGATGGGCAGGGAGCGGACTGCGAGGGTGGCGAGCCCGAGCTGTTAGGACTAGAGGCGGAGGAAGGGATAGTCGTCTCCTGGTCTTTAAATAACGACGCTGCGGCGCGGGGGAACGGCGGAGCGACGTGCGCGGCGGCGGAGGGAGCGGAGTGGGCGGAGGGGGTAGCGGGGGAGGACCGCATGCAGGTGGTGGCCTCCGGTAACGGCTACGTATTTTCCGCCGTGTATGACGGGTTCACCGACACGTCAGCAGCCGATTTTCTCGTCGCTAATCTGCACTCGCGCTTCGCGCAGCAATTAGTCGCCCGCGGGTTGGATTTCGGAGAGGCAAACTCGAATACCTCTCTTGCCACGGAAGGAGGGGATCACGGTAAGGTCGCGGACGCGTCGCGGCGGCATGAGATGGTCCTGCAAGCGCTAGCGGCGGCGCTGAGCGAAACTGAAGCGGCGTATTTCGAGTCGTTAGAGGAGCGAATAGCGGAGCGGCTGGAGCTGGCCGTGGCGGGCGCGTGCCTCGTGGTGGCCGTGGTAGCTGGACGCGAGCTGTACGTTATGAACCTCGGGGACTGCCGCGCCGTGGTCGTCGCGGAGGACGGGCAGGCGGAGGAGGCGGGGGAGGCGGGAGAGATGGGAGAGGTGGCGGAGGCGGAGGGGGAGGGGCGGAAGAAGGTGGGGGAGTTGCGGGCGACTCAGCTGACGGAGGACCACAACATGAACAACGAGAAGGTGAGAGCAATGGCGGCAGTGCCATATCCCAGCTTCTTCATTTTTTAACATTTATTTATTAATCTCTGGTTGTTTTTTTCCCTGTATTCATTCTGACGTTGCGCCCCTCGTGCTGTTGTTTACTGTCGCTGGTGTTCGTTCCAGGAGGTGGAGAGGCTGCGAAGGGAGAGGGCGGACGACCCTGACGCGATCACAAAGATGCGAGTCAAGGGCAAGCTCAAGGCCACAAGGGCGTTTGGTGCCGCCTACCTCAAGAATGTATGTTCTCAATCTATGCATTAGTCCACCCCCGGTCCTTACGCTCTCCCCGTTCTCTCCTTGTGTTGCCCCACTGTCTACCGCACACATGCAAGTGCTTCAACTTGACCAGCTTTTCTCAATATCTGTGTCTGTCTCCGCTCACCTCTCCCCTTGCCTTTCCTTCCCTTCCATCCACCAGCCGCGAGTCAACGCCATGCTCCTCGGCATGCTGCGAGTGCAGTACGTGGGGTCTCAGCCCTACATCTCCTCCTCGCCGCATCTCCACCACCTCACTCTCTCCCCCTCTGACCGCTATCTCGTCCTCTCCTCCGACGGCCTGTACCAACACATGACCCCTGCCGATGCTGCTGCCTCTGTGTCTCGTGCACTGGCTTCTGCGGATAAGGCTTCTGGTGCTGGTGGCGCCGGTGCTGAGGGTGGATGTGGGGGTTCGTGTAAGGGCGCCTGTGGGCCGAATCTTTCACATGTGCTGGTGCAGGAGGCGCTTGATCGAGCTGCAAGAAGAGCAGGTGGGTGCTCGGAGCTTGTCCGTGCTTTGTTCCCTTCGTGCATGATTGGTTTCGTTTGTGGTGGTGGTGGTTTTGTTGTCCTTGTCTGACTGGCGGATGTGTTGTGTTGTTTGCAGGTATGACGATTGAACAACTCCTTCAAATACGTGCAGGCGATTACCGCCGACAATTGCATGACGATTTGTCTGTTACAGTTCTGGAGCTTCAATGCTAGCTCCATTCTGTCATACCATATAATAGTCTCTGCTTGCCATGGCAGCGATGTTGCTGCTATGACTTGCAGGTCATAATGGCATAGTGAGTAGGAAAACTGTTTTGGTATCCCATGGTATGGGAGTGAGTGCCATACTGTTATTCTAATCAATTCAAACCATTGTTGTTATTTCTTACATGCGTCTGGCGTTTGTGATGCCTTACTCCCACCAATCAAGAGGTTTTTCATTCCAAGATATGTAGATCGGTAAGAGTTTTACCCATGTGTTTGAATCAAGCATCTGGTATGCTGGTTTAAGGGACAATTATTGCTGCTCGAACTGTAGTATATTGAGCCGTGAAGGGTACCGCGTCATCTAAAATCTGTCCACATTTGGCTCATCGCACATTATCTTGAACCGTGAACGGCCAGGATTTCCTCGCGGTTCGAGGAGTGCGAGCATGTCAAGGTTGGAGGCCTCATCTGCTCAATGCACGCCACCTCCTGCTTCAGGCAGGACCCCTCAATCTCATTGCTCTCAAACCCAGCAGAAAATCCAACTTCTGAGCTTACAAGCTTCCCTCACGCTCCTCTTTTCTCTCATCTCCAAATTCCTCCTGTCCTGCAATCTCCTAGAAACCCTTGCATTGTGGGTTCCTTGCAGCTGCTCGTGTGTCCATGCACGCCTTTCGAGTCAGCTTCGCGTTTGTTCTCCCAGCCACGTCTTTGAACTTCGTTCGGAGCTAAAGCTGGCTTCAGGAGAACGTGCATGGCAGGTATCTGAGCTAACACTTCTTAACGCTAGCACCACTCATAGGATCTATACATTTGATATTTCATGTAGCTCAGCGGCATCTGTTCTTTGGCTTTCCCTTGCTGTCTTACATTAGCCTTGTACGGATGTTTATTCGTGTCCTTGTAGCAGAGGTTTTGCCGTTTATTACGATTATCCCTTGTCAAATGCAGGTTCCCAAGGAGGTACTATATGTTCTTCAGAATTCATATTTCTTATTGTCGAATATTATTTGGCGCGTGGTTGCTTGCAGGATGGCAACCGCTGCTAATTCTGGTGGTCCATTGAGGGAATACATGCCAGGTTCCAAGGATGGCGTGAACGAGGTAGTTCTATCACTATTTTGATGTTATTAAGGTTCCTAAAATCTGGGACCAAATTATGCATGCTAACATCTACTGACTTTTGCATTCGTTTTGCAGGTTGCTCGTGTTAACAATGACACCGTTATTTGTACTCTTCCATCGCCTCGTACTGATGAGGCTGACCATGGAGCTAAAGCGCTTGGCTTGACATATTCCGAGCTGCATAAAATTGAGATGCCATTCAGTTGCATTAGAAGCGACATTTCACGAGGTCCTAGCTCTCCCTCTCCGCGAAATGTGCCACCATTTGCAACGGATGACAGATCTGGATCCACAGGGCAAACTAATGCCACTATTCCGGAGCCAGCTTCGTTCTTGGCTCTTATCCAGGCAGCAGACGTACATAATCTGCCTTTCCGAAATCAAGGAGACGGTACAGACGCTCAAAGGGTAGGAACGGAGCCTGTTTCACAACCTGCTGTGACACCCCCAGCTGATGGCAGTAGGGGTGTTGATGATGGATCCGCTCCACCAGTCTCGGAAGTCTTGAGGGATGTGAATCTAACGGGGCTGCAAGAGGTGACAATATCGGGAGCAGATAATTTGAACGTGCGGAGAAGGCTGTTCGTTGACTCCCTCGGAAGTCCTCGAGGCCCTCGCTACCATCTGCCCTCCCCGCCCTCTGGTATGCCTGAATGTGTTTGCTATGCAGATTATGCGTGAATGACGTAAATTAGTGGTAAGTCTTTATCGTGCATGTTCGACTGATTTATTGTGACTGGTCGCGAAACGAAGAATGGCTCAGTCATGCATGACTGTCTGGTTGTATGATGCATAATTGATAGGCAATATCATAAGCTGACTCATTAATTAGATTTGAGTGCCTGACAGTAACATGCATTATTGATGTAGCAGTTGATGCACAGCTGACCGAGGGACCGTTCTTGTTGTTTTCACGGTGATGGTACAGACGGCGGTGGAGGAGGAGGAGGAGCGGAAGGAGGACCAGCAGAGACTACAAGGCGCCAGGCCGGGAGAAGGAAGAGGTTATTACCCAGCGAAGAGGTATGCCTCTTCTCACGTTTATTCCATCTTCACTTGGATCTGTTCCATGCGCTCTACGCCTTTAGTGCATCTGCTCATGCATCTCATCCCAGTGCTTCACCGCTCACTGCCTGAACACCTATTTTTTGTGTGTTTCTACATTCAGGAGCGGATGAGGGCATTTGGAGAGGCAATCCAGTGGCGGTTAGAGGGTATAGAGACATCAGGAGCAGCGCACGAGCTGTGCCTAGACCTGGGATCTGACATGCGCTTTCTCAAGAAGTGGCTTACAACCAACAGACCAAAACAAGTGAGTTAAATTCAGTTCAGAAGACACCAAACCCACTTGTTGATTAGACCACAATGGTATGTTTCTTGCCAGGTTATGTGCTGAGAGTTGCTACTTCCCATATCTTTTGTTTGGCAGGCTATATTGGTTGATCTGTTTGGCCCTTGCCGTTGTGTAATGGGAGGGTGGTGATTGATTGCCTTTGGAAGAAGCATGTTTGGATCTCAAACGTCTATTTCCATTCCACAGGACATCTCCCCCGCTCAACATGGGAGGCACCTGTGGGACATCCGACGGCATGCAACACCCCCTGCTGCCGGATTCACGGACCGCTTCACCGCTCTGCCCTCCTCACAACCGCTACCAGCAATGGGTCCCTTCCGTTCAGAGAGCAGCAGCGCAGCAGCACACATGCCTGGTTTCTCCCATGGACTAGCACCAGGAGGAATGCCAGGTGTTTCCTCAGGAGAGGCCTACACAGGGATGCTGGAAGGAGGGCTCTCAGCATCAGGTCCTGAAGGACGGGGGTTTAGTGCCCTGGGGGAGTTTGATGCAGAGGTGGCGGCAGCAGGGGGGCAGCAGCACGGCGGCAGCATGGTGCAAGCGATGCAGGCTGCGATGGGGGAAGGCCCACTGGCTGCTAATGGAGAATCCAATCAGTTTCCATGGTCTTCCTTGGGGCACAGAGCTGCTGGGTATGGGGCATCAGCGCTTGAGTACTCATCTCGCCTGTCCGCAATGGGGATGGGGATGGGGTCAGGAGGAGCTGGGGGTACAATGATGGAGGGACTAGATTTTCTCAACTACCAGCAGCTTTCTGGGAGGGCACAGGGGCAGGGAATAACTCGGGCGGATGATTTACCCAGTATGGTGGGACCATCTGGGGGGTTGTCTCATAAGCTGACAATGGAAGAAGGCAGGATGCTCATGGGTCAAGGGGAGGCTGGTGTGGAAGGGGTTGGAAGTGGCACTGGCATGAGCGGATTGTTTCAGTACCACCATAGCCTGGACCCGTCGCCGCTTACCCGCACACCTTCAGGCCACATCGTCATGCCGTCAGGCCACGTCAGCATGTCGGACAGAGCGTACCTGCAACAGCCGGCAAACACCTCGTTCCAGAGCCTACTCACTGCGCCGGAGGAGAGAGGTCTACCTGGCTGGAATGACAGGGCTCTAGGCTTCAATGCCGGCCCGTCTGGTGGTGCTGCATCCAGTGCTGGCATGACTGATGCCATGCTATGGTCCGCTAGTCTCCACAGGGATCTCCAAGCAGCAGGCAGGCTGGGAGGAACTGCCAGGATGGGTTCTGGTGGAGCTACGGCTGCTGGGGTTCAGGCACAGCAGCAGCAGGAGGGGGGGCTGGAGGAGCAGCAGGGTCAGGGTGAGCCCGTAGTGGGAGGTGCGGGTGGTGATGGGAAAACTGCTGAGGCAGAGGGTAGGGCGTTGGGCGCCGGTGCGGATGGGGCACAGGGGGGTGATGCAGGGGGGTTTGGTGGGGGAACACAGGGTGGAGTGAAGGGCGGTGAGGAGAAGGGGAGCGGAGGAGCAGCAGTGGGGGAGGGAGGAGACGGAGGTTTGCAGCGGTCGTCGCGGCTGCCTCCCTGGGCGAGGAAACAGCTGCAGCAGTCAGGCAGGGCCCTCGGGGGCGACCCTTTCCGTGTGTCATCCCCTCGGCTCGCCTCCTCTCCCCATATCTCCTCCCAATTCTCCTCCCCTCTCTCTTCCCCTCACCTGCCCTCCCCTCTTTTCTCTCCTGGCCAGCCTTCTCCGTTCTCCTCCCCATGCTTCTCCCACCTCCCCTCCCCCCGCCTAGCCGAATTCCAACGTCTCTCCATCTCCATCCCCCCCAGCCCTCCCCCCTTCGGCGCGCACTCCCCCATAGGCACATACGCGCCCATGGGCGCACCCTCCCCCGCTTCCAGAACCCCTGGCTCCTTCCCCTTCCCCACGCATTCCCCCCTCTCTGGGGGATTTCCTTCCGCAAGCCCCAGCGCCCCTACCCTGGCTAAACTCTCCCCCAGTGTGGCCGCAAGCAACCGCAGCAAGAGAAGGCTGGCCCTTCGCGCCCACCACCCAGGGGCACATATCCCGGGTAAAGGCCGGCACACAGGGGGGAGAGGCCCCGGGCATGGGGGATCCCTGGGGTCCCCGAGGGGGAGTGGGCGGATGGGGCAGCAGAGGATGCGGGTGCAGGGGATTTCTGGAGGTTTGAATGTGGGTGGGGAAGGGATGGGAGGGATGGGGCACGAGCAGGGGATGACGGTTGCGGGGCAGCCAATGAGTCCGGGGCCAGTGGTAGGGCACGGGACTGTGAGCGGCAGCAGCAGCGGTGGTGGCGTCATCGGTGGTAGCAGGCTTCGCCCACAGGCTTCACTGACAGAGTCGGGAGGCAGGTATGGCTGCTCGACTACACTGCATTGGCTGCTGTAAAGCCGTCTCCTTTATACCATTGCTTGTTTTGGAACCCCTTGTCCGCCACGTGCACGGCTGGGACGCAGTGCTGCTGAAATAATACCACGCCTTGTGTGGTGGCGTTTTTGTGTTGTGTTTATCATTTGCTTTTGGCTGTGTTTCCAAACAAGCAGGGAAGTGAGGGCCTTGTGTTTAGAGCCGCTAACGCGCAGGGGGTCTCTAACCCGGTCCGAGGGAGAGGGCAGTGGAGGCAGTGGCGGCAGCAGGGGCACGGCACTGGCAATGCCACATAGGATCGCCAGCGTGGAGGCCACCGGTGACGTGGCAGGACCTGCTGACGTGGATGGCGGTGCTGACGTGGACTCCAAGTCGGGCGGCTCTGCTGGCAGCACGCCGAAGCAGCTACAAGGCGTGTCCAATCAGGATCTCTCTCCATCCACCGGCACTGGATTCCGTGGATATGGCTCCAAGGTAGTAACAACTTTTTGTAATCCATTTACAGGTTTGCCTGATTTCTGATGTATGTATTTCCAGGGTAAGGAGAATGTTGTTTCTAATCACAATACTGGGTACACTGGGAAGACAATTTTGGCCAAGGTGCTAAATTATTTTTGATACGCCCCTTCCTTCCCCGCTCTCCCCTGTTTTTTACAATTCACCCCCCCCTCCCCCATCGCTCCTCCTTCAGAGCAAGTCGATAGGTGTCCTGTTTGAGAAGCTGCTGACAGCGAGTGACACGAGCCACCTGGGCCGCGTTGTTCTACCCAAGGTGCCGGCAGAGCGCTTCCTGCCGCACGTGGAGAGCAAGGAGGGCATTCTCATCATCGTGGAGGACTCCATTGGCGGACAATGGTGCTTCCGCTACAGGTGTGTGAGCTCAGGTGTGTGCCTCCGCTACAGGTCTCAGCGATTCCTACTGCACGTGGAGAGCAAGGAGTTGAATCCATTGGTGACCAGTGGTGCTTCCGATATAGGTGCTTTGCTCCGGTGGTGATGGTGCATGGTGCCTCTGGTGCTGGTGTGGGCGGTAGTAGTGCTCCTGGCAGATGTGTGGATGACTGACACTGTGCCTTGATTCCTGTGTGCGCCTCTCTTGGCAGGTTTTGGCCCAACAACCGCAGCAGGATGTATGTCCTGGAGCATGCAGGTGAGATTCGATGCCCATAACTGTTGTCGCTTACATGTGTGGAAGGTTTTTGCCGTGCAGCATGAACAACTCTTACAATCTGCTGTTACAATGTGCAGGCGATTATATTCGCAAGTACGGCCTTACAGCAGGAGATACCATTAGTTTCCTCCGCTCCGAATTTGGCCATCTGGTGAGATTGGTGGTCTTCTTTGAAAATTGACACTGTGGGCATTAGCCCATCAACTTCTGCTCTCCTTCACCCCTCCACCTCTTTTTTTTTTTTTGGTACTGGCACTATTCATTTCATGATATTCAACTCATCTGATCCTTTTTATTTCATTGTCTTACCTGTGCAACCGCTTGTTTGACCAGATGCTGAAGGAGCAGAAAGCGCCACCAGCAGTGCTCGCCGCACCTCCCACCGTCGCCAGCCCATCCATCCTCGCCGCTCCCACCACTCCAGCGCCAGTCCTCGCCCTCTCCACGCACCCTGTCCCTCTCTCTGCTGTTCCCATCACCCCCCGAAGCACACTTCCTGTTACCGTCCCCATCACCCCTTCACGAGCCCCTCTCTCTGCTCTCCCTACTATTTCCAGCGTAACACAGGACGTCCTCCCCCAGTTCCCACCTCCCCCCACCACCTCCTCCTTGGGTTTCCTCCAGCACAAACCAGACCTGCGTCCTCAGCCCCACTCCCTCCCTTCCCCACAGTCGCTCCTCCTCTCGCACTCACTCCCACTCACTCACTCCATTGATCGCTTCCAGGGGAGTATCATGCAGGGAGGTGAGCGGATGGAAAGCGTCCTTCCTACCCAAGACCCACTTCAGGTGGAACCCCAGCAACCCTTCTCCGAGAGGCGCACTCCCCGCCCTCTCAGGCTGCTCTCTGTGCCTTCCCTGCCTAGGACCCCCACACTCCCACCTGATGCTGTCGGGATGTCTGCTGCTGCTGGGTCTACCGCTGCCGCTGCCGCTGTTGCTGCTGCAACGGCCGCCCCTGCTGTTGCTCCCACTGCTGCCACCGCGTCTTCTCCTGCTGCTGGTGGTGATGACGCTGGTGCCGGAAGGACTGGAGGTGTGCAGGAGGGATTCAGGCCTGATTCAGTGCAGAAATCACTGGTTGAACTGGGAGGAGGTATGGGAGGGGCACAGGATCAGGCACAAAAGGTGGCAGAGGGAGGAGCAGCAGATGCGAGTTTGAGTGGTGTGCCGAACGTAGAACTGAAAGAGGGTTTTGAAGGAAGCTGGCAGACGGCTGTCGCTATGGCGCTGCTCCCTGGCGATCGGGGTTACGAGGAGCCTAATCGCACTTTTGGGCAACCAAGCGGTACTTTTGGGGACCCTAGCCGTAGCTACCATGCACCAAGCGGCCGTATTGTTCACGACCAGGAGAATACTATTGCGGGCCAGTTGCAGTATTACGGCGATTTGGTGGGCGGAATGGCGAGGGGGGATGAGAAGGCAATAGAGAGAGGCGGGAGGGCGATGGAAGAGGAGGGGTTTGCAGCGATGGGTGCTGGATTGGAAGATACGGAAGTGGACCGGCGTGGACACATGGGAAATCATTTGGATGCTCTCATGGGGGATGCAGAGGAGGAGGAGGCATTGGGTGAGAAAACTATTGGCTTTGAGCTGATCTTGTGTTGTTCTTGTCCGACTGAAGTTTGTACGCACTTGCTATTCAACGCATGCTTGCCTTTTGGGTGCTGTTACTTTTCGTGTTGACTGTGGTTACAGGTTTGCACCAGCAGCCTTTGCAATGCATGGGACCACCCTTGCCGACAACGGGAATGGCACTCGAGCGGTGCGCTAGCCTGTCGACAACGGAGAAATGCCTCGAGATGCTGGATGCTGATAGTGCTCGTGGGCACGAAGGCACGACAAGGGATTGAAAAGGTGCTGCCTGTGCTAGCAAAAATCTAAAGCTTTGTCAATGTGTTCTCGACAATGTGTTTGTAGAGTAGGAGATGGTGTAGGAAGATGCGTTGTACTAACGGTGAGATTGGAAATAATGGATAGGTTAGAGGAAAAGCTTTCCTCACTCACGGATCCTGGATTCATGATAAGAAAGTTGGAAGAGTGTCTAACTTGCCTTTGCTTTTCCATTCAGCGTGTACTACATGTTATTTCGATAATAGTCGCTAACATTGAGCACTTCTCGAATCCAGATCCACTTCCACCACTTGATACCGTTCCGCACCCTTCAGGCCCCTAAGTCTCCTCTTTGGGTCCCCCTTCCTGAGTGTCATTCTGTCACCCGTGTTTCTTTTTATTCGGCCTCCGTTCTATCAGAAAAGTCATGGCTGTCAGCCATGTCACACAGTCGAACCCGTCGCACGCGCTTATTCTGGCAGCATGCTTGTCGCATAATATCGCGCAGCTGTCCGCTTGCGTCGCAGATCAGTCTATCTGCGATCGCTGGCGTCTGTTGCAGAGTCTCACGTCATACCGCTCTTCCTCGCCTCATTATGTCGCCTGTCGTCGATCTGTCGCACACCCTCCTGTCGCTCATCCTGTCGCCGTATCATGAGCTCAGTGGCGACTAAGAGTCGCCTAGCAATGTGTCAGTCACCGCGTCGGACGCAGATCGCACAGATCGCACGAGTCCTTTCAAGCGACCTCAGATCTGACAGGCTCAAAACGGATATCGTTCAGGGAAGGGAATACCATAAGATGCAACCACCCGAATCGCGAATCGTGCCTTCACACGGGTCACCTAAGAACTCCAAAGCCACCAGTCGCGATGTCGATGCGCTTCTGAAGGAAATCCCAAGGTCGTCTGTGGAGGAGGAGGGTGTACCGACCCGTCCACATGGACCACCAGCGGAACGTACGGTGCTGAGCTGGACCGAGTTGTGCCGAGCTGTGCAGATTCCTGCTTAGCTGGTGGTACTGATATTTTGCGTGAAATATTCCAGTGTTACGACGTCTCAGAATGCGACCACTTAAAGCTGGTTCAAGTGGTATCATCGACAGCGCATCGGGATCAACCACAATCCAGCGCGCTGATGCGCGCCGTTCAGCACGATTGTTGAGCTGGCATTAAGTATCTGCTGTCAAACCGGATAAGTTGCACGCGAGTCCATCTGTCAACGACTGCTGTGCTGTCAGCACTTGCTACGCTGTCGTTGCGACATGTTGTCCGTACTGTCCTAGCCATTTGAACGCGCAGGTCAAAAGTCCGCTTAGTCTGTCCGAATTTTCCCCCCGTTGCCTGAGCACCGCTCCTCGCGCACTGTCGCTGGCTCGCAAAATTTCTTCTGGCTCGCGACGCTTGGCTCGTATATCCCAAGGTCGACTCAACAGTCGCACATATCATACAGTCAAGCCGGTCGACCGTCGGCCTTCAACGGATTCGCGTCTGATTGGCTGCTGATAGACGCGCTGTCCGTCGTTTCGTCGCGCAGCAGTCCGACGTGCGACCCTTTGGATTGCCGAGCCCGACTGATATTTGAAGCGCGTCAGAAGCCGAGTCCGTACGACGCGGCTCAGCAGACCACCCTCGCGGTTGCAAGTCGCGAGCGCCGTTATCCCTCGGGAGTTCTCTGTGCCCCGTCACATTCCATCATTGCTGCCGGTGCGTACGCCGTGTGCGTGTCAGCTTCCTCGCCTGCTCACGCGGCTCGCGTTGTCGACGCCAGTACGGGTTGCAAACGCGGGGGAGACAGGGGGGAAAGGAAAATAGCGTGTGGGACAAGGGACGGGCGAAACAGGCGACAGCAGACAGCGGTGGGAGACAGCCGAAAGGTAGCAGCAGCAGCGTGGTTGACAGTTGCACACCCCTTCGGTCTACTTTTGAGGCGTCGGAAAATAGGCTGACATTTGCAGGCTCGTGGAAAGAGCATCCCGTGCTCCGAGAATGTGACCTCCTATTTTGAATCTGCCCGTTTTTCTATTCACCAGCAAATTGTTCTTCCAGAAGCACCCGTTCCTAGGGATTCACGAGTACCAGTCTGCTAGCCGCTGAGCTCCAACCGCTAGCTGCTAACCGTTGCTATATCCAGCCAAAAGTTGTGGTTCACAAGGTGCAGCAGTAGGTGTGGTGGATCGAGTCGGGGTCTTGAGCAGGGGCCGGGAGGGACAGGCGAGGTGGGAGACAGGAAACGAGGGGAGCGAGGGAAGCGAGCAGGCAAAGGGGCGAGCTTGAGTACAGGGAGGGGCGACTTCTGGAAGAATAAAGTGGGAGACGAGAAGCCGAAGGGGCGAGTTTATTCATTAGCACATCTACTCAACTCGCTTATCTCAGCAATTGGCAGCAACTGCACCGGTTTCTTCCTGCTGGTTCTTATCTTGGTCCTTTCCCTGTCCAACACTCGCACCAGCAGCAGCCCGAACCCTCTCACCTCGACAGTCTGATACTTAAAGCCCTTTCAGCAGGTGCGGGCGTACGAGTTTCTCCCAGGCAGGCCGCCAGCAGAGGCACCAACTCACACATTCCAAAACTCTGCTACTTAAACCGTATTATCCTTCTTGACCAACACAGTACCCTGATACACAAAAGCCTTTTATCTTGCAAGGCGCGGACATAAAAGTTCCCTTCTTCTGTCAGCAAGCCTACCAGCATGCTACTCTTTGGGACTCGTCTTGGTCAACGGAGTCTAGAGAGTCAACCCGGGCAAGCAACTTACCACAGCCGCCCCTCCCAGCAGCACCACTCCCAGCAGCAGCACCACTCCCAGCAGCAGCAGCACTCTCAGCAGCAGCTCTCCCAGCAGCAGCAGCACTCCCAGCAGCAGCACTCCCAGCAGCAGCAGCACTCTCAGCAGCAGCTCTCCCAGCAGCAGCAGCACTCCCAGCATCAGCAGCACTCCCAGCAGCAGCAACAGCACTCTCAGCAGTACTCTCAGCAGCACCAGCAGAATAGCAGAGGCAAGAGCGGCCGCAGCATGGCTGTGGATGCCACCCCTGCTCTGCAGAGTGTTCATCGTCCCAGGATCATGTCTGAGCAACACTACAGTCAATGCTCCCAGCACCGCTCCCAGCAGCACCACTACCAGCAGCAGCAACCCCAGCAGCAACCCCAGCAGCATCGCTGCTGCAGCCGCAGCAGCGCCTGGGGAAGCAAGGAGTGCAGCTCTCCTGTCCGCTGCCGCACCCATGGCAATCCTGGTGACGAGAGTGAGAAGAAAGCAGTGCTGTGGCTGCTGGGCCAGGCTGGCGAGCAGGGAGGGCAGGAGGCAGGCGATTCATTGCAGAGGCCGCGTGCGAGTGACCAGGGCTGCTGCTATGGGTTGGAAGGTGGGAAAGATGCTCGTCCGCGTGGTGGCACGCCTATCGTGAATGAACTCTCAGCCGGGGTGCGTTCGGCAGCGATGCGCTCGACACTGCAACCCTCGGCAGTGAATTGCTCTGCTGCAGAACTCTCGCCTCTCAAGCACCTGCCCACGCATCACCGTTCGCCCTTGAAGTGCTCGCACTCACCTTTGGAACTCTGTGCTGCTGGCGAGGGCTGTGCCAACGAGCTGAAACGGTCATTTGCAGCCAACCCCGACCCTGCCTTGGCTGCAGCTACCGCTACAGCTGAGGCTTCTGCTACAGCTGCAACCCCTGCCACAGCTCTTAAAGCTCCTGCTACAGCTACTCCCACAGCTGCTTCTGCATCTCGTGCCGCAGCTGCCCCTGCAGTTGCTGTGTGCACAGAGATCAGCCTGGCTCTGCTCCCAACGCCCTCCCCACCAGCCCTAACACTCCCTCCTCTGCAGACCAGCACAGGCAGAGGCAGTGCTGACTGTGGTGGAAGAGAGAATCAGCACATCAGCACCCAAAGAAGCAGCCATGGGTCTCCACGCAAGGACATGGTTCACTCCTTTTCCCGCCCTACTCGCCCTGCTCCTGCTTCCACCGTTCCTTCTGCTCCTCTCCTACCCCCCATGCGTTCTTCTCTGCCGCCCGCCGCTCCCACCCTCTCCCCGCTCCCTTCGCCTTCCCCCAACCACTCTCCTGTCTCCCCTCTCTCCCTGCCTAGCCCTGCTTCCCATTCTCCCCCTCCTGCCCCGCTCTCCCCGCCCCCTGCTCGCCTCTCCCCCCATGCCACTCCTCTCGCTCCGCTCTCCCCGCTCCCCCCTCCGTCTGGCTACTCCTGCCGTGTGTGTGGAGCAATTTTCGCCTCAGGGCCTGCCCTGGGGGGGCATATGAGGAGGCATCTGAGTGGGGGGTTCGAGGCAGGGGGTAAGGCGGACGGGGGGAGATGGGTGGATGAGTCAGGGGGGTGGGACAATCATTCTCATGCTGGGGAAGGAAGGGCAGTATGGACAGGACGTGCAGGGGGTAGGTCTAGTCTGGTTGGGAGGGAGGATCAGCGAGTGGGGTGTGATTGGGGTGGCAGGGTGGGAGCAGCTGCAGCTGCAGGTGCAGGTGCAGGTGCAGTGAATGTGGCGCCAGTGCCTCGCAGAAACCGGCTGCTGCTGCAGCAGCGTAGTGCCGATGCCGATCACATGGCCATGCTGGCTCGGGAGATTCCCGAGGTGCCTCGGAGATCAGGTGCGGACGGCGTGGGCAAGCTGGCGCGGGAGATGGGTTCTGGTGCCGTGCGTCCTGTCTCACTTTCCCGCAGGCCTTCCCTTGTGCTGGCTAAGGACCTTTCGTTGACTCGTGCTGAGTTGGCACATGAACAGCAGCAGCACCAGCACCAGCAGGAGTGGCAGCAGCGGCAGGAGCAGCAGCAACAGCAGCCTCAGCGAGTAGTGAGTGCCATGCTGAGCCAAGTGCATGCGGCACAGCGCAAGAGGACCTATTCCGACGTGATGCGATGGAGTGATGTTAACAAGCAGATGGAGGAAAGGGGGGAAACAACCAAAGAGGGGCTCAAGAGGCGAGTGCTGTGTAACCTGGTGGCGTTGCCCCAGCTCATTTCCACACAAGTCGGGTCAACCAAGGTTGCTCTTGCCAAGCAAGCTTCACTGGTTGCTTCTCGTGTTTCGATTGAACGTGTGCATAGTCTGCCATCCATACAGCAAAAGGCTCACCAAGTCAAATCCTCAGGCATGGCCACTTCCATGCAAGAAATAGATCTGTCCTTGCATCTTTGAGTTATGTTGTGATGCTTACGCTTATTGGGCGCATTATTCTAGACATCACATCTGCGGTTGGAGTCCATGACGAGAAGGACGTCTCACAAAACCGCGTACGCGTAGGAGTCCACGTGGAAAAACATGAATCGCCGATGCCTTTTCGGGGAAATGCTAGATATCGCGCGAGTGTTTCCTTACCGACCATTTCGTCTCATCGTCAATGGATTCCCATTTCGCCAACTGCCCCATAGGTTACCTTCACAGGGCAGATATTTGCGTCTGCCAGGGACCCATTTCGCAGGCATGGTTCACCTAGCCCTTTCCTCAAGTCTCGTTCATGAACCGAATCCATTCTCTGCTCTCCCATTTGCTGACACTCACACATGCACTCAACCGACCGTTCCTTTCCACCAGCCAGTACCCATAGCTCCATTTTGGCTCTCCATTTTAACCTTTTTGACTGCTGCCTCACTTCAAGAAGCATCCCATCCATCCTTCTAAGTGGTCAGCCAGAGTGATACTATCAGGGTGCCGTGCCGCAGCCTCGCACTCTTGACAGGATAACACAGAAACGCTTGTAGTGGATAAGCAAGTCGCTGTAAGGCTACCTGCTCCTAGCCAATTCAGGCCTGCGTGACTCGTTCTAAATTCCTACCCTGGTCATGGCTGCTCTTGCCACTACCACCCTTGTCAGCGCGTCGCTGTTTGGTGCTTCACAGCAGCGCGCAACCTTGAAGGGCCAGTCTGCTAGCGTGAAGAGCGTTATCAAGTCCGTAGCCTTCAGATCTCAGAAACGCCTCTCCGCCGTTCGATGCAGCGCTGGAGGTAGGCAATTCCCCGTTTCTATCTGCACCCTCACACGACCCCATCTCCCGCCTGATTAACACGCGACTCCTCATCCCGTTTACAGCTTCTGAACATTCACTGACAAATCATTCCTGAACTGTTTCGTTGCAGGAGCGACCGCAGCACCGGCAGCTCCTTCAGTGACTCCGGCAATTACGTTATCTGAGAAGGCTCTGGCGCATCTGACCAAGATGCGCGCCGAGCTGAACAAGGACCTACTGTTGCGCATTGGCGTCAGACAGGGCGGCTGCTCGGGCTTCTCGTACGTCATGGACTTCGAGGAGCGGGCCAACATTCAGGAAGGCGACTCAATTGTCGATTACCAAGGCTTCTCCATGGGTGCGTATGTCTTTTCAGCCGCCTGTTTCAGGGTTCTGATACTTGTCGTTATATGCTTACGTCTTCCTTCATTCAATGTATGATCTGTGTGCGATTTGTGACATTCTTTTCGTATCTTCATGCGGCTCTTGCAGTGTGCGATCCCAAGAGCCTTCTCTTCCTGTACGGCATGCGGCTAGATTACAGTGACGCTCTCATTGGGGGTGGCTTCTCATTCAGCAACCCTAATGCTTCCTCTACCTGTGGATGTGGCAAGTCATTTGCTGCGTAGACCTGGATCCTAGCATGTACATATATAAGATATAATGCACCGATTCATTGTTGAATTTCAGAACTAGCTCACAAAGTTGGTTGCTGTCTTCTTCCCTGAAGTTCGTTCGGCTTCTCATATGATAATTTTGTCAGAGATCCCGTAAGCAGGATTGACTCACATGTCTTCATGAAAACTTCCACGTTTGCGGTAGTTTTTTCCCATTACAAGACCACTCACAAGATTCCATTTAGCTCAAAGATCGTGGTACAAAGTAGGCGAGCCGGTTTGCCGAATAGCGCAGCTCACTAAACCGCAGTGAACTGGAAATACAGGCTTCTGGAGACCTCCAGTCAGATCAGCCGTACAGCATGTAATAACCAGAGGTCTACACGTGTACAATCCACGTATACAGCCCTCGTCTGACATGGACGAAATCTCCCCACGATTTCTTGAACCTCACGCATCCTGAAATTTCCCGAAATTCTGCTGGGTGCGTGGTGCTCTCGCGTCTGGGAACGGACCTTTATTTTCACCATTCTGGATCTTTGTGTACCTTTTTGGATCAACGCACACCAGAAATAACCATACAGAACTGATCTGTACACAGACAGATCCATAGATCCACCACGCCAGCTGCTTCATAAGGTACTTCCGAAACAAGTCAATCCCACCTCACATTTTCCTGACATCGAATTTCCCTAGGTTCCCGTAAGACTCGCCGCGTCTGTGCAACGCTTTACGGAGCACCGAGCACTTACTCACAGACATCTCTCCCGCTTGGTCGAGTGTCTCGTGTCAGTGAGCACAATGGAACTTGGTCTATCCCAAGTCGCGTTCTGCGCTGCTCCCCCCGAGTCGAGCGTTCAGCATTCGCTTAGCTCACGGCAACCCAAGCGCAGCTCTCCGGTTTCCGCGTGTGCTTTCCTCGTTCAGCGCTCATCCACTTCGCACCATGGCAGCTCACCGAACCTCCGCTTTCCGCCTCTCGGCAAGAAGCCATCTTCCACACAAAGCAAAGTAGCGGCTTCTAAATGTGTAGGCTTCCGTGGTGTCCGCGGCTCTGCGTCTCCGCGTCGCCTTGTTGGGGTCTTTGCCACCAGCTCTTCCAGTACTAATGCCATCAGCAGCGAAGCTTATAACGAGGATAATCTCGTTGACGGTCGGAGGTCAGAGGACGGAACTGAAGCGCGCGACGAGGAAATCGTTCCGCGGAAGCCATTTTGCGAGTCACTTGATCAGCCCGATCAGAATCTCTCATCAATGTCACCATCAGGAGCCCCGTGGACGGCTTTGATCCACCGCCTCGCCTTCTGGCGGTCGCATCTCAGCCGTCAGTTCCACCTCCCGGAGCCTTCCGACATTCTCAGGGAAGCCGGCCGGCTGTTCGTGTCGCTGGCCGTCAGCGCCGTGCTGCTGACGTCCGTCAGCGCGCCAGCTACGGCAATCGTGCAGGCGCCGCCGCGCAAGCTGATGCCGGACGAGCAGGCGACGGTTCAACTATTCAACGAAACGACACCGAGCGTCGTTTATATCACGAATCTTGCCGTGCGGAGGGACGTGTTTACACTTGACGTGATGGAGGTGCCGCAGGGGTCCGGGTCGGGGTTCATTTGGGACCGTGAAGGCCACGTGGTGACAAATTATCACGTGATTCGCAACTCCAGCGACCTGCGGTGAGTCAAGTCGAGTCAAGTCAAGTCAAGCGGGTCAGGTGAGTCAAGGGCCAGTCAGTATTGTCTCTACACTGGAATGTTGAAGATTGTAGAAGCAAATTCAACCATTGATATGACGTTGAACGTCGATCACTAATGTGACTCAGAACGTCACTAATGTGACTCAGAACGTCACTTGTGATCCTGAACGTCTCTTATGTGATCCTGAACGTCTCTTATCTGACCCTGAACGTCTCTTATGTGATCCTGAACGTCTCTTATGTGACCCTGAACGTCTCTCATGTGACCCTGAACGTCTCTTATGTGACCCTGAACGTCTCTTATGTGACCCTGAACGTCTCTTATGTGACCCTGAACGTCTCATATGTGACCCTGAACGTCAACCACTAATGAGTGACGTTCCCTGCTAATGTCCACTGCTAATGAGACGTCCCCTCCCAGATACAGCGCCAGAGTGTTATGCATAACATGCCGTCCCAGCACTGGTGGCACTTTGTATCCTCCACCTTCACCGCTCCCTCCTGCTTCTTCCCCTGCTCTCAACAGGGTAACGCTGGCGGACCAATCGGTGTACGCGGCTGACGTGGTGGGGTACGACCGTGACAAGGACGTGGCGGTGCTGCACATTGATGCGCCTAGGAGCAAGCTGCGGCCGCTAAGAGTGGGCAGCTCCTTTGACCTGCAAGTGGGACAGCGGGTGTACGCCATTGGGAACCCAGTGAGTGTGCATACAGTGTTGTAACCAGGTAACGTGGTGGGTGGGCAGTGTGTGGTAACGAGGTAACCATGTGAGTTTGCAGCGTGTGGTAACCTGGTAGTATGCAGTTTGTGATTATCATTTGACAAAGCCTCGTACCAGTGGTTCCCCTTCCTTCTCTCACCCACCCACCCGCCTTCTCCACCCTGGCTCGCTTGTGCAGTTCGGTTTGGATCACACCCTCACCACAGGCGTTATCAGGTACGCTTCACATGGCATGCCATGCCTCACATCCATCCTCTCTGCTGCTGTCTGGTTGTCTGCCTGCCTGCCTTTCTGTCTGTTTCCACGTTTGTTTGCTGGTGTAGCGTGTTCATCTCAGAACAATGCGACTCTGATCGATGCAACAGCCACTACCATCTTTCTTGTTTTCCCGTATCCCACTCCACTCCATCCCCCATCTCATCCCCACAGCGGGCTGCGGAGGGAGATCAGCAGTGCAGCAACGGGGCGGCCCATACAGGACGTGATACAGACAGATGCGGCCATCAACCCGGGCAACAGTGGGGGTCCGTTGCTGGACTCCAACGGCAACCTCATCGGCATCAACACCGCCATCTACTCTCCCTCGGGCGCCTCCTCTGGTGTCGGTTTCTCCATCCCTGCTGATACGGTCAGTGCCTGCAGTGCTCTCTGTGTCCTCACTGCCTTGTGTGGCCCCGTTCACTCCCTCTCTGGTGTGTTTCGAGTCCACTCAACTCAAGGGGGTCCGCTGCTGGACTCCAACGGCAACCTCATCGGCATCAACACCGCCATCTACTCTCCCTCGGGCGCCTCCTCTGGTGTCGGTTTCTCCATCCCTGCTGATACGGTCAGTGCCTGCAGTGCTCTCTGTGTCCTCACTGCCTTGTGTGGCCCCGTTCACTCCCTCTCTGGTGTGTTTCGAGTCCACTCAACTCAAGGGGGTCCGCTGCTGGACTCCAACGGCAACCTCATCGGCATCAACACCGCCATCTACTCTCCCTCGGGCGCCTCCTCTGGTGTCGGTTTCTCCATCCCTGCTGATACGGTCAGTGCCTGCAGTGCTCTCTGTGTCCTCACTACCTTGTGTGGCCCCGTTCACTCCCTCTCTGGTGTGTTTCGAGTCCACTCAACTCGAGGGGGTCCGTTGCTGGACTCCAACGGCAACCTCACCGGCATCAACACCGCCATCTACTCGCCCTCTGGTGCCTCCTCTGGCGTTGGCTTCTCCATACCCGCTGATACGGTCAGTCAGCGACCTGCGAGGCTGTGTGCCCCCTGTGTCCTCTTTGGCCCCGCTCGCCCACTCTCTTGGTGTGTTATGAGTCGACTCAAAGAACACTACGATTCAGGACGCCGTGTCCCCTCCTCCCGCTTCCTGCATGGCAGGTGGCGGGCACCGTGGATAAGATAATTAAAGCCAGTGCTGAGCATCTCCTGAGTCGACTCAACATCCCCTTCGCCCTCCCACATCCCCCCTCCCTTTCTTCCACGCTCCACACACGGCAGGTGGCGGGCATAGTGGAGCAGATAATCAAGTACGGGCAGGTCACGCGGCCAGTGCTGGGCATCTCCTTTGCCCCCGAGCAGTCGCTTGAGCAGCTGGGCGTGGCTGGGGTGCTCGTGCTTGATGCCCCTCCTTCCGGCCCGGCAGGGAAAGCGGTGAGTGCAGCACTCATCACAGCACGGTGAGTTTTCAGGCACGAGTCACGCGGCCAGTGCTGGGCATCTCCTTCGCCCCCTAGCAGTCTCTTGAGCAGCTGGGCGTGGCGGGCGTGCTCGTGCTCGACGCCCCACCTTCTGGCCCGGCAGGGAAAGTGGTGAGTGCAGCACGCATGGACCACGCATTAGTGCATGCAGCACACATGACTGCATGCACATCCCCTATGTCTATAGTGAGAGGAGTACGCCAGGGTTTTTCTGACTGGCACTGTCACTTTGTATCATGACCTTATTCCAACAAGGGCTGTTTGGTGGTTGTGTATGGTTCTCTGTGGTGCCGATGTGTGCAGGGCATTCGGCCAACAACGCGGGACAGCTATGGGCGGTTGGTGCTGGGGGATATTATCACGGGCATTGATGGCAACACTGTGAGGAATGGCTCTGATCTCTACCGTATCCTCGACCGCTGCAAGGTTGGCCAGAAGGTGAGCTTCCAGGAAACTCCAGCATCGAGTTCAATTCAAACCTGTTGCAAGGCTATTTTGATATGTACATTGTATTATAAGCAATGTTTCTAATGTTTGACATGATGTGGTCGCTTTTGCTGTGAGTGCAGGTGGAGGCAAGAGTGCTGAGAGGAGACAACGAAGTTACAATCACAATTACCTTGGAAGGGAAGAGCTAAGACTGTTTTTCATTGCACTTGGGTGAATACTGTGTTGTAATTTATGCTGTTAAACAAGTCTTAATGTCGTACAGCGCTTGTGAGGGTGTATATTTCGGTAGCTGTTTTTATAATTATACCATGTCACTAGTTATAGAAATATTGTCCAACAGTTTTAACTCGTAAAACCGTAACGGACACTGTCTGTGTTAGATTGACTGATCCACCTCAGTCTGGCCTTTGTCAAGCAACACTCCAGCCCAGATGAGTAGCAGAGCCATGGATTTCACATACCAGCACAATTGCACAGCGTGTGTTCACCGCGCGAGCATGTTCAGGGAGACAACGAATTCTGGTTTCCAGGGAAACGTCAGCGCGTAGAGAGCTGAATTCGGACCGAACTACTCGTCGCTCGCGTGTAGGAACGGACTGATGGTGCTCATGATCCAGACTGTTGGTTAAGCTTTCTGATGCGCTTTCACTTGCAGCCAGCATGAATCAGGATTCATCCTACGTCGCATGGATCGACCGCCGTTCAATCCTCCTCTTCGTCGCCGCCGTCTCCGCCGGCGTCGCTGCCGGCGCGACGGCGGCGGTGACGGCGACGGTGTTTCCATACTCGCTAGGTCTGTTAATCGGCATGCTACGCACCAATGACGGAAAGAAAGACGCTAAGACTACTAAGACTAAGGAGAAGGTCACTAAGAAGGCGGGCACGAGCAGCAGTAGTAGTTTCATCAGTGGCGGCGGGAATATCACCGCGAGCGGCGGGTACGGCGTGGGGCCGCTGACGAAGGAAGGGCAGCTGCATCGAGACGTGGTCATGAGCGCTGTTATCGAATCATCCTCGTTACAAGTCTCCTTCGACTCGTTCCCGTACTATCTCAGGTCTGCTCGCAGGCTGCACAAGCAAGGGAGAGCAGGAAATTCAGGGTTGTTATTCACCCACTGCCCTGTCCATGCTACATCTGTTCCTGACCGTCGATGCACGGGTCACTCCTGCCTGACCATCGCAGACTGTTCCTGGCCGTTGATGCGGGGTCAGACTGCCGCTAGCAGGACTCGCCTCTCGCTTAGAGAGGTGTTTTTCTGGCTGAACTCTTTCGGTTTGCTCTCGCGCTGTTCCCTTCATCCGCCTTCATCCCTTTCCCCCTTCCCTCCCCGCCTAACCTCCCCGTCCCCCTTTCCCCTCCGTTCCACTTCCCAATTTCCGTGGCAGCGACACCACGCGCAACGCGCTGGTGGACGCGTGTTTCATCCGCCTGCGCCGCCCCGAGTTCCTGCGCTTCACCGCCGACCTCCCCGCGCTCTCCGCGCGCATCCTCCTCTCCGGCCCCCCAGGTCTCTCCTCTCCTCACACACGTCGCTGCCAAGGACTCCCCACTCTCTCTCCTCCCTCAGGGCCCAAGATTCCTCTATCCGGCCCCTAAATCCCACACTCGTAGTTTTCCTGTCCCCGATTCGCTCAGCAATGGCGCTTGTAGAGCCTATATGTATGTGATTTATCAGTTTCCTGCCTGGTCCGGTTATTGAGTATTCTAACGCGTTGGTCCATCTAGCTGTTTCCATGTGTGCACTGTGCACCGGTGTGAAAGGCGCTTTCGAGAAATTGTAAGTCGCATGGCTTGTGTCACCCACAACGCTGTCTCTGCCTTGTATGTTTCCTTGCACTCCGAGCCTGCAGGCTCGGAGCGGTACCAGGAGCAGCTGGTTCGGGCGTTGGCTCGGCACCTGGATGCCAAGCTTCTGATATTTGATCTCCCCAACATGCTGCTGCAGGTAAGACATGCATGCTGTCGCTTTGAAGCTACGGCGGCTGCAAGTACGGCTGGTGCAGGTACAACCTTTACAGGCGCCTAAAGAAGCAGCTTGTGTCGCATTCTCTGTGCAACGCAAGTGGCGCTAGCACCCACGGTAGGCTGTGTCTTGTATTCTGAGGCGCCTAAAGAACTGGGTTGTGTTTGATGCTGTATGCAATGCAGGTGGCCCTCGCAACCAAGGCGGGCGGTGCTTTGCCTCAAGCCCCCACCAGTGGCGCAGCGCTGGCACCGGCATCAAAAGCAGGTGCAGGAGAAGCATCAGCATCAGCATCGGCATCAGCATCAGCATCAGCATCGGCATCAGCATCGGCATCAGCATCGGCATCAGCAGCAGCAGCAGCAGCAGCAGGAGTGGCAGCAGCAGCAGCAGCAGCAGCAGCAGCGGCAGCGGGGGAGTCACCTGATACGGTGTCAGGGTCAGGTGTGGGTGCTGAGACAGTGCACGCAGGAGGGGCAGGGGTAGGAGAGGGCGGGGAGGGAGGAGGAGAGATCACGGATGCAGGTGCGGGGGAGAGGAGTGCTGGGGATGCAGCAGAGGAGTGTGAGGGAGGAAGAGGAGGAGGAGGAGGAAGAGGAGGAGGAGGAGGGCGATGAGGGGAGGCAAGGAGAGGGCGATGCAGTGAGGGCAGGGGGGGCAGGGGAGGCAGGGGAGGCAGGGGGGGCCCAAGGCGCTGATTCAGCAAGGGTGGCTACAGGGGGGGAACAAGTATCGGGGTACAGGAGAGCTGGGGATGGGGGAGGGGTTGATGGGGGGGTGGATGATGGGGGAGGGGGGGAATCCGCCCTGCCTGCTGACGTGGAAAGTGATGGGCCTGCTGACGTGGCGTCACGGGGACTGGAGTTGACGGACACAATGGATGAGGGGCACGGGGGGGAGAGGGTGGAGGGGGAAGGGGAGCGGGAGAGGGCGGAGAGGGAGGGGGCGGAGAGGGAGGGGGCGGAGAGGGAGGATGGGGGAGCAGGGGGGGAAGCAGAAGAGGCGCAGAGTGTGGCTTGTGTGCAGGGGGCAGGTACTCTGCCTGCTTATGCTTGCAGCAGCAGCAACATTGTTGCCGGTGCCGTCACTGCAACTGCTGCCTCCTCTCCTGCTGTTGCTGCTTCTTCTGCTTCTACCGCTGCTGGCAGGTGTGAGGAGGCGGAGCAGAGCAGCGCTGCTGCTGCTGCTGCTGCTTCTGGTAATTCTTCTGCCAGCACCCAGCCGGACAGCATACCGCCCCCCAGCGCTGCACTCACTGGCAGTACCCACACCAGCAGTGCCACTGGTGACGATGCGCCCAGTAGGGCGGAGGCGGAGGAGGAGGGGCAGCGGGGCAGCAACTCGAGTAAGCGCGGCAGTGGGGGTATGGGAGGAGGAGGGAAAGTCGGTGTGGATCTTAGGGCAGTGAAGCTGAAGGAACTCTCCTCCTCGCTCATCCCCCGCTCCCACTCCCACCACTCCAAATCCTCCTCCTCCTCCTCGTCCTCCTCCTCCCACCATAAGAAGAAGGGCAGCAGCAAGGGATCCAAGAGTTCAGCGAAGGAGGGAGGGGGTGAGGGGGATGGTGCGGGGAAGGGCGGGAGCAGAGAGGAGGTGGGGAGTGGGGCAGCAGCGGTGGCAGGTACAGGGCACAAGGCGAAGAGCAAGGGGGAGAAGGAGAAGGAGAGTGCTGGGAGCGAGGGGAAGAAGAGCAGTGAGAGTGCGGAGGGGTCAAAGAAGGGCTTTAAGAAAGGTAAACTACAAGTCTACTCCGTGGGGCAAAGTCGGTAGTGTCCTTGTGTGCTCGTCCTTCTTGTTGTTTGTTTTTATATTTTTCCTGCACGTGTGTATCTTTTATCGTGCGCTCTCCATGCTTATTCAACAAAACAACCGCGCACGCACACTCCCCTCCCTGAGGGAATAGAGCGCAAGATAAGTTCCTTAAAAAAGGACCTGTCATCTCTCATACTCCCCAGCCCAGTGCACCTCCCCTGCCTGCTCCAACCCCCCTCCCCAACTTTCCGTCAGCTCAGCCCTCTCTCTCTCTCCATCCCATCACCCCGTCAATCACTTGCCTCGCCGTCGCCCGCCCCTCTTCCAGGTGACAGAGTGCGCTACATGGGCCCGCCCTCGCTCTCCTCTGCTGCACCCCCACAGCCCTCAGCCTCGCTCCTACCACCCTCCATGTCAGTACCCATGCTTCTTCCACTTCCCACTTGCTCCGCCCCTCGCTATCTCCCCTCCCTGTGCCCCCCTCGCTCTCCTCTGCTCCGCCCCTCCCCCCCCCACCTGTCCTCTGCCGCAATCCTATCAGTTTCCTATCAGTTTCCCCATCAGTTTCCCCATCATTTTCCTATCAATTTCCTATCAGTTTCCCATCAGTTTCCCCATCAGTTTCCCCATCAGTTTCCCCATCAGTTTCCCATCAGTTTCCCATCAGTTTCCTATCAGTTTCCCATCAGTTTCCCATCAGTTTCCCCATCAGTTTCCCCATCAGTTTCCCCATCAGTTTCCCCATCAGTTTCCCATCAGTTTCCCCATCAGTTTCCCCCATCAGTTTCCCCATCAGTTTCCCCATCAGTTTCCCCATCAGTTTCCCATCAGTTTCCCCATCAGTTTCCCCATCAGTTTCCCATCAGTTTCCCATCAGTTTCCCCATCAGTTTCCCCATCAGTTTCCCCATCAGTTTCCCCATCAGTTTCCCATCAGTTTCCCCATCAGTTTCCCCATCAGTTTCCCATCAGTTTCCCCATCAGTTTCCCCATCAGTTTCCCCATCAGTTTCCCATCAGTTTCCCCATCAGTTTCCCCATCAGTTTCCCATCAGTTTCCCCATCAGTTTCCCCATCAGTTTCCCCATCAGTTTCCCCATCAGTTTCCCCATCAGTTTCCCCCATCAGTTTCCCCATCAGTTTCCCCATCAGTTTCCCATCAGTTTCCCCATCAGTTTCCCCATCAGTTTCCCCATCAGTTTCCCATCAGTTTCCCCATCAGTTTCCCCATCAGTTTCCCATCAGTTTCCCCATCAGTTTCCCCATCAGTTTCCCCATCAGTTTCCCCATCAGTTTCCCCATCAGTTTCCCCATCATTTTCCTATCAATTTCCTATCAGTTTCCCATCAGTTTCCCCATCAGTTTCCCCATCAGTTTCCCCATCAGTTTCCCCATCAGTTTCCCCATCATTTTCCCATCAGTTTCCTCATCAGTTTCCCCATCAGTTTCCCCATCAGTTTTCCCATCAGTTTCCCCATCAGTTTCCCCATCATTTTCCTATCAGTTTCCCATCAGTTTCCCATCAGTTTCCCCATCAGTTTCCCCATCAGTTTCCCCATCAGTTTCCCCATCAGTTTCCCCATCAGTTTCCCCATCAGTTTCCCCATCAGTTTCCCCCATCAGTTCCCCCCATCAGTTTCCCCATCAGTTTCCCCCATCAGTTTCCCCATCAGTTTCCCATCAGTTTCCCCATCAGTTTCCCATCAGTTTCCCCATCAGTTTCCCCATCAGTTTCCCATCAGTTTCCCCATCAGTTTCCCCATCAGTTTCCCATGAGTTTCCCATCAGTTTCCCCATCAGTTTCCCATGAACTTCCCCATCAGTTTCCCCATCAGTTTCCCATCAGTTTCCCCATCAGTTTCCCCATCATTTTCCTATCAGTTTCCTCATCAGTTTCCCCATCAGTTTCCCCATCAGTTTTCCCATCAGTTTCCCCATCAGTTTCCCCATCATTTTCCTATCAGTTTCCCATCAGTTTCCCATCAGTTTCCCCATCAGTTTCCCCATCAGTTTCCCCATCAGTTTCCCCATCAGTTTCCCCATCAGTTTCCCCATCAGTTTCCCCATCAGTTTCCCCCATCAGTTTCCCCCATCAGTTTCCCCATCAGTTTCCCCCATCAGTTTCCCCATCAGTTTCCCATCAGTTTCCCCATCAGTTTCCCATCAGTTTCCCCATCAGTTTCCCCATCAGTTTCCCATCAGTTTCCCCATCAGTTTCCCCATCAGTTTCCCATGAGTTTCCCATCAGTTTCCCCATCAGTTTCCCATGAACTTCCCCATCAGTTTCCCCATCAGTTTCCCATCAGTTTCCCCATCAGTTTCCCCATCAGTTTCCCCATCAGTTTCCCATGAGTTTCCCCTCAGTTTCCCCATCAGTTTCCCCATCAGTTTCCCATCAGTTTCCCCATCAGTTTCCCCATCAGTTTCCCCATCAGTTTCCCCATCAGTTTCCCCATCAGTTTCCCCATCAGTTTCCCCCATCAGTTTCCCCGTCAGTTTCCCCCATCAGTTTCCCCATCAATTTCCCATCAAATTCGCATCAGTTTCCCCATCAGTTTCCCCATCAGTTTCCCCATCAGTTTCCCCATCAGTTTCCCCATCAGTTTCCCATGAGTTTCCCCATCAGTTTCCCCCATCAGTTTCCCATCAGTTTCCCCATCAGTTTCCCCATCAGTTTCCCATCAGTTTCCCCATCAGTTTCCCCATCAGTTTCCCCATCAGTTTCCCCATCAGTTTCCCATCAGTTTCCCCATCAGTTTCCCCATCAGTTTCCCATCAGTTTCCCCATCAGTTTCCCCATCAGTTTCCCCATCAGTTTCCCCATCAGTTTCCCCATCAGTTTCCCCATCATTTTCCTATCAATTTCCTATCAGTTTCCCATCAGTTTCCCCATCAGTTTCCCCATCAGTTTCCCCATCAGTTTCCCATCAGTTTCCCATCAGTTTCCTATCAGTTTCCCATCAGTTTCCCATCAGTTTCCCCATCAGTTTCCCCATCAGTTTCCCCATCAGTTTCCCCATCAGTTTCCCCATCAGTTTCCCCATCAGTTTCCCCATCAGTTTCCCCATCAGTTTCCCATCAGTTTCCCATCAGTTTCCCATCAGTTTCCCATCAGTTTCCCATCAGTTTCCCCGTCAGTTTCCCCCGTCAGTTTCCCCATCAGTTTCCCCATCAGTTTCCCATCAGTTTCCCCATCAGTTTCCCCATCAGTTTCCCATCAGTTTCCCCATCAGTTTCCCCATCATTTTCCCCATCATTTTCCTATCAGTTTCCCATCAGTTTCCCATCAGTTTCCCCATCAGTTTCCCCATCAGTTTCCCATCAGTTTCCCATCAGTTTCCCATCAGTTTCCCATCAGTTTCCCATCAGTTTCCCCATCAGTTTCCCCATCAGTTTCCCCATCAGTTTCCCCATCAGTTTCCCCATCAGTTTCCCCATCAGTTTCCCCATCATTTTCCCATCAGTTTCCTCATCAGTTTCCCCATCAGTTTCCCCATCAGTTTTCCCATCAGTTTCCTCATCAGTTTCCCCATCAGTTTCCCCATCATTTTCCTATCAGTTTCCCATCAGTTTCCCCATCAGTTTCCCCATCAGTTTCCCCATCAGTTTCCCCATCAGTTTCCCCATCAGTTTCCCCATCAATTTCCCCATCAGTTTCCCCCATCAGTTTCCCCCATCAGTTTCCCCATCAGTTTCCCCATCAGTTTCCCCATCAGTTTCCCATCAGTTTCCCCATCAGTTTCCCCATCAGTTTCCCCATCAGTTTCCCCCATCAGTTTCCCATCAGTTTCCCCATCAGTTTCCCATGAGTTTCCCCATCAGTTTCCCCATCAGTTTCCCATCAGTTTCCCCATCAGTTTCCCCATCAGTTTCCCCATCAGTTTCCCATGAGTTTCCCCTCAGTTTCCCCATCAGTTTCCCCATCAGTTTCCCATGAGTTTCCCCATCAGTTTCCCCATCAGTTTCCCCATCAGTTTCCCCATCAGTTTCCCCATCAGTTTCCCCCGTCAGTTTCCCCGTCAATTTCCCCCGTCAGTTTCCCCATCAGTTTCCCATCAGTTTCCCATCAGTTTCCCCATCAGTTTCCCCATCAGTTTCCCCATCAGTTTCCCATCAGTTTCCCCATCAGTTTCCCAATCAGTTTCCCATCAGTTTCCCCATCAGTTTCCCATCAGTTTCCCCATCAGTTTCCCCATCAGTTTCCCCATCAGTTTCCCATCAGTTTCCCCATCAGTTTCCCCATCAGTTTCCCCATCAGTTTCCCCATCAGTTTCCCATCAGTTTCCCCATCAGTTTCCCCATCAGTTTCCCCATCAGTTTCCCCATCAGTTTCCCCATCAGTTTCCCCATCAGTTTCCCATCAGTTTCCCCATCAGTTTCCCATCAGTTTCCCCATCAGTTTCCCCATCAGTTTCCCATCAGTTTCCAATCAGTTTCCTCCATCAGTTTCCCCATCAGTTTCCCCATCAGTTTCCCCATCAGTTTGCCCATCAGTTTCCCATCAGTTTCCCCATCAGTTTCCCCATCAATTTCCCATCAGTTTCCCCATCAGTTTCCCCATCAGTTTCCCCATCAGTTTCCCCATCAGTTTCCCCATCAGTTTCCCCATCAGTTTCCCCATCAGTTTCCCCATCAGTTTCCCCATCAGTTTCCCCATCAGTTTCCCCATCAGTTTCCCCCATCAGTTTCCCCGTCAATTTCCCATCAGTTTCCCCATCAGTTTCCCATCAGTTTCCCCATCAGTTTCCCCATCAGTTTCCCATCAGTTTCCCCATCAGTTTCCCCTCAGTTTCCCCTCAGTTTCCCCATCAGTTTCCCCATCAGTTTCCCCATCAGTTTGCCCATCAGTTTCCCATCAGTTTCCCCATCAGTTTCCCCATCAGTTTCCCCATCAGTTTCCCCATCAGTTTCCCCATCAGTTTCCCCATCAGTTTCCCCATCAGTTTCCCCATCAGTTTCCCCCATCAGTTTCCCCGTCAGTTTCTCCCATCAATTTCCCATCAGTTTCCCCATCAGTTTCCCATCAGTTTCCCCATCAGTTTCCCCATCAGTTTCCCATCAGTTTCCCCATCAGTTTCCCCTCAGTTTCCCATCAGTTTCCCCATCAGTTTCCTCATCAATTTCCTCCATCAGTTTCCTCCATCAGTTTCCCCATCAGTTTCCCCATCAGTTTCCCCATCAGTTTCCCCTTCAGTTTCCCATGAGTTTCCCCATCAGTTTCCCCATCAGTTTCCCCATCAGTTTCCCCATCAGTTTCCCCATCTGTTTCCCCATCAGTTTCCCCATCAGTTTCCCATCAATTTCCCCATCAGTTTCCCCATCAATTTCCCATCAGTTTCCCATCAGTTTCCCCATCAGTTTCCCATCAGTTTCCCCATCAGTTTCCCCATCAGTTTCCCATCAGTTTCCTCCATC